TCTTTCCCTTTCACTTAATCCCTCCCTCCCTCCCCTCCCTTATATATTGTTCTGCAATTTGATCCTTGATACATTTCATTCTCTCATACTGTTCATTCATTTCTGTATTCTATATTCAGTCCACATTCATTTACCATCTATTCATTCTTGACCCTTTTTTAAATTTTTATTCAAAAATAGGCATCATGTGTTCCTCTTATTACATTCATCAGTAAAACTTCAATTCCATAGTTGCAGAAAACATTCTATAATTCAAACCTATTCACTTTATCATACATTTTCTGTAAATCTATACATGTACGATAAACTCACTTTCTTACATTCTTATGTTTCTCAATGACCAAATTAATCAGAGAAATTAACTATTAGACAAATTGACACCATTATAGAATGCCCTCCCTTTACTGGTTTGCATGACACTTAGCACTTTTTTTTTCAGAAGGGAAAAGGTTTTTATTTCCACATTTCAAACTTAATTATGTTCATTCTTTTTAGATCTGGCATACCAACATTTTTCACTGCTGTTTCTTGTTTTTGGTTTAGTTTTATATTCTGTTGTTTTAAATACTGAAACAATCTTCTGCATTTACTTGATACTACCTACAGGTAATCCTTAGGTTATAACCACTCATTCAGCAAATGTTCAGTTACAGTGGCACTGAACAAGGGGGACTTATGACCATTGTAGCGTCCCTGCAGTCACATGATTGCAACTGGAGCACTTGGCAACCAGCTTGCTATTAACAGCAGTTGCAGCATCTTGCAGTCACATGAATGCCATTTGCAACCTTCCCTACTAGCTTCCCACAAACAAAGTCAATGGGGAAGCTGGCAGGAAGTCACAAATCACTCCAGTAAGTTGCTCCCGCTTTTTCTCCCAAGGAGCCCCTGGGCAGCAGGGTGAGTGCAGGCCCCAGGTGGGTGGGCAACTGCCCGCCCAGCCTTGCACCAGGATATAGCACCCAACCCCAGCCCACTTGCACTCATGCTGCAGCACCCACTCCTGCCTGCCTGTGCTCACACTGCAGCACCCACTCTCTCCACCTGCCCACAGGCGCCCCACACTGCACACCCACCCACATGCCCAGCCACCCACCCACATGCACTTGCACCAGAGTGTAGCATTTCCCTGTGTCCCTGGCTGCACTCACTCTGCAGCACCCCTCTGCCCACCTGCCCTCCATAGCACTCACCCACCCGCCGGCCTGCTTATGAGCCACCTAAGGAAGGGCTTGTCATGACCACAACTTGCAACTTCCTGCCAGCTTCCCCATTGACTTTGCTTGTTGGAAGCCAGCAGGAAGTCGCAAGTCACGGTCACACAAGGTCCTTGCTTAATGACCCGCGATCCTTGCTTCACAATGGCAACGGACTGCCAGGATTACTGTCACTAAGTGATGCAGTCACATGACATCATGGTTTATGGCTGCATCGCTTAGCAATGGAATTCCGGTCCCAATTACATTAGTTAAGCAAGGACAATCTGTATTATTTTTTGTTTGGTAGGGAATTTTTAAGTCATGGTTTAATTAACAATATTGTTATATTTAACTTAACTGCTCTATTTTCTTTTAAAGAATAGGGTGTTAAGAAAACAAAACTTTCTGTACTATTCTTTATTACTATTCCAAAAATCAAAATGGTTTCATTTTCTCGCATTTAAAAAATAAAGCACTTTCCCAGACTTTACGACTGAAATGTTCTGTATCCAAAACATTAAATTACATATACTTGGTAAGTAGATCGTTGCTGAGAATCCTGCCTTCTACGTGAAGATAAAGCTCTAAAACATACTCGTATGACTTCCTGTCTTTTCAGTTTGAATAGAAGGGTATGTTTACCCTGAGTCAGGGAAGTTTTCAGGTGATGGGCACAACTGCAAGATCTCATGCATATTTTTTCCAAAAAAAATCAAAATATAAAAAATTTAAAATGGCAGTTCTCTCTTGGAAGAACACAAAGGATTTATGAGATTGGGCTATTATAATGTTTGGCTATTTTTATTTTAGAAGTCAGTGGATGCCATCAAGCGTGCCATATTGCTGATTCCCAACATATACAAGTCTAATCTTATGCCAAGAATAGATCAGATACGGATAAAACAAACAAAGTAAATCAAATAAGAATAAGACATGCAGAAAAACAAAGATATGCAGAAGAGCCTCTTCAGATTATTTTAGTGGATACAATCAGTGTTTTTTGTGTTGCTCTGTAATCGTAAATGCAGAAAATGTGCTGCTGTCATCTTTTCACATTCAAAAGGATGTTAGCTACTTGAAATCTTTACAGCAGTAAAACAGCAGTTTTGTTTTAATCCTTGCAGCTTTTGTGTTCCAGACTAGGCACTTTTGCTGATCTTTTGTAATGCCTGATAGGAAGACTGACTAAACAATGGAAATTCAATCCTCATAGTTAATCTTCTCTACTACAAAGAGAAATCGCTAAGAAAGGCCGTGAAAAAGAAAGCTTACCTGAAAAAGAAAGCTTACCGTGGTTATTGGGTCACTACTTTAACTCTTTTAATTGTAGTTTATAAAAAACGATTAAAAACATACAACCCTGTATTATGTTATATATTATGAGCTGCAAGAGTTATTAAACCCCTAAACAAACCAAGATACAATATATGTATTATTGCCTCTATATTGGCAGAATTCATCAAGAATGTTACATTTATTCCCCAGAAAACAGAGCTGCAAACATTTAACTAATTAGACTAAAATAATTCAATATCAAATTCATGGCACTAATTACAGATAAATTTTCAGGCATACCTGAATCAACTTCTGAAAAGATCTAAGCAGTATAAAATTCTTCCTAATTGCCATAGTACTGCTTGTACTGCTAAAAAAAAGTTGCAGCAATGAATTAAATGAAAGGAAAACTTCATACCTGGGAAACAGTTAAACATATTAATATATTCTTATAAATTTACACATAATCCTGCAATAAAATGATCCAATACACATTACAAAAAGTGGTAGAATGCTCTTCCCACATACGGTTACATTTCAAGGACTTCACTGAAAATAAAGCAATTTTCAAGATGGGCAGGGAGTGAATTTAGAAGATTGCAGAAATCTATTTTTTATATACATATTAATCCAAATTAACTAAGAATTAAATAATTGCTACTTCAGCTAGTCTCAAGCAACTTCAGTTTTATAAAGCACTTTCCTGTTATGTCCACTTGTTTTAAAACAAGATTATCACTACAGTCTGGGTTTCATTTCTTCAGTGAAAATTAATTCAAATTAACTCTTTCTGGATTATTAAATGAAAAAAAAATACTCTGCTACTGTATTTCAAGCATATTAATTTGGCCTCTTGTACATCAGATTGTTGGTCAATCATCCTGAAGATCTCAGGATCTTTTTTTCCTAAATTAATTATCCACTCTCTCCCACCTACTGCACTGAGCCAGTAAACCACCACTAGTAATATTCTACAGCCTGAAATTAAAGCATATTATAGCTGCACATTTAACAGAGTAACAGAATGCCTTTGATTCAAAACTGAAGGACACTATACATTTTAGGTGAGCTGGGAAGCAAGTAGTAAAGGAATGTCATTTAGACAGAAAAAAGTGTACATATACATATAGGAATGGAATAGCTACTACACAGTAATTATTCAGCCCAACTAGAGTATTTGTAGTAATGAGATGCCATGTTGTTGCTAGGTGGTTGTATGGCTTTTTTATTGGTTGATGCTGTGATTATTTTACGCTGTTATAGCCTGCCTGGAATCTTGGAAACTGGGCCGTATAGAAATCTGGGTAATAAAATACAGTTTCTTGCACACTTGGTTTACATACTGGCCTTGATTCAGAGAGGGACAAAGAAAAATGATGGTGTTCTGGTTTTGCTTGTATGATCTGTAAAACTATTTGTTCATTCATTTGACTGCATATATCTACAGCTGGTCCTTGTTTAATCACTGCTTGTTCAGCAACCATTCAGACTTACAGTGGTGCTGAACGAGTGGTAGTTACAACTGGACCTCATACTTACGGCAGGCACAGTGTCCCCATGGTCACTTGATTATGATTTGCAACTTGCCCTGCTGGCTTCCCACAAGCAAAATCAATGGGGAAGCTGGCAGGAAGTCAGAAGTCATAGTCATGTGCAGACTGCTGGCAGTGCCATCACTAAGCGGCATGGTCACATGGTTTTTCGACTTACGACCACATCGCTTAACAACAGTTTCCAGTCCCAATTACCATTGTTAAACAAGGACTACCTGTGTAGTGGTACCTGGGAAAGACCTTGGGAGACTGAGCAGAGACGCTGCCCAAGGAATGGTCAGATAAGACATAGCATAGCCCACAGCTAGATAGTGGACAGGGCAAGAGGCTCAGAAGAGACCCTCCCTAGTTTCTCGGGCTGAAAAGGAGATGGGGGAGAACTGTATTTTCATACTTGCAAGATTGATGCCGGCCCTGCAGGGTAAGCCAGATAGGAATCACAACCAGATTAGCTAATTCTACTTTTTTTGTAAAGCTACACTGACAGAATCTTCAATCTCTTACCCTGCCATTCCCTAGGCAGCGTCTCTGCTCAGTCTCCTAAGGTCTCTCCCACATACCATTACAACCTGTACTAAAAATAAGTGGATGGAACAATCAGTATTGGAGATAGTATAACAGATCTCACAAATGGGGGAAAACATTCCATGGCAATTATAGTATTTCAGTGAAAAAGTATCATTACCTTTGGAAGTAAAACCCCTAAAGAGTACTTAAAATTCATAAGTCAATTTTCATTTCATTTTTAATAAGCTACTCTTCCATCAGAAAAAGGTTACATCATATTAGTAAGGATTATTTACAAAATATACAAATTCTACATGTTAATCTTTGCCCAGTGAATGAGTAACGCTTCTTCCATTGCACAGACTGAATTTGTTCATGCTTAGGCACTTCTCATTCATTTCATTTGGTGTATAAAACATGACTGAAGGAACCTGGGCTTTAAGGGGAACATGGAGCATCTTTGGCGTTTTAGATTCAAGCAATGCATTTAATTACTACTCAGCCAGATTGTATTTATAAGTTTTAAAAATACTGCATACTTATCTTTAATAAATATTTCCCCCCAAAATTATTGCAAAATAAAAAGTAATTCCTACATTTCAATATGCTCCTATAAAATGTATTCTGATAACTGCTGTTTTTTGACAAATAATGACAGTGTAATAAAATATTAGCCATTCAAATAACTGAAATGATCGCAAACAAGGTAAGAATATTAAAAGTAGCATTTTATGTGCCATGATAAATTAGCTCCCATTTCAAGAAAACAAACAATACCCCACATTTAAATCACTCAATCTTTTACAAAATGAGCAAAAAACAAGGACTCAGAAACTTCTGAAACACTGGTCAAGCCACCTGATCATGTTTTCAACAAAGAGTTTATGCATAAAGAAACTATGCAGTCTTTTTACTCCACTGGGTTATAGAATCCATTGTGCAATTTGCTATTCCTTAGGATTATTCAGTGACAGGGAAAAGATGGGAAAAACAAATTATTCACATTAAATGATCAAGAAAATATCAGATAAACAAAAACAAAAAATATCAGATAAGGCATAGATTCAGATTAAATATTACAAATTAAAATTGACTGCCTCAGAATTCTTCAAAAGGAATGGTTCACCTTAAAATTTTATTCCAGCTATAGTTATTTTGCCTCCCCCCCATAAATATAGTATAACTGAACAAAAGATCTAAAAACTTCTGTTTCTCTTCATTTTCCTCTTTCTAAATTACTTAACATCTATTAGAAAAGGGATCAGAAAAGTACTATGGATCCTGAGATGAAATGGAAAGGGAAGATCCAGGTTTATCCTTATTCAAACTTTTGTTTAAGTTTATTCTGGAAAACAGCTGGCAGAATGGACAGAATTGCTAGAATCATAAGAATAAAGACTGAGTTCCAGGAAACGGCTTCACCTGCTGTGGTAAGCTGATAAAGTGTTGTTCCAGCTTTAATTGCTACAAAAGATGGTGGTGCAACACCTGGAAACAAAAGATGAAAATATTTTGGTTAGAAATTATAAAAAGTTTCAACACAAAATCACACTTCTAATATTAGCAAGTAGCTATTATTTTATCTGATCCAAGAGTCACAACAGAAAATGTATATATTTGCTTTGCTTTTCTTGTTTCACATTTTTGAAATATTTTGTATATTTTTTAAGGCAGCTATGCTAAATTCCTGTGTATATCCTTCTTATAACAAGTGGATGCAAAATATGTTATGAAACCAATATCCAAAAAAGGTTACCTTACTTTTACAAGTTAAAGCAGGTACTTTATATTTCTCAAATTTGTATGCCACTTGACTCCCAATTACTCTTACTAGGTGCCATACATATCATATACATAAATAATGAATTAATGTAAGTAATAAGTAGAAACCCTGAATAAAAAAAATGGTATCACTTGGCTAAATTAACTAGCTTAAGGGAGCTACAACTTCCATATCCTGGGCAGTACAACAACGAAAGAAAGAAAGAAAGAAAGAAAGAAAGAAAGAAAGAAAGAGAGAAAGAAAGAAAGAAAGAAAGAGAGAAAGAAAGAAAGAAAGAAAGAGAGAAAGAAAGAAAGAAAGAAAGAGAGAAAGAAAGAAAGAAAGAAAGAGAGAAAGAAAGAAAGAAAGAAAGAGAGAAAGAAAGAAAGAAAGAAAGAGAGAAAGAAAGAAAGAAAGAAAGAGAGAAAGAAAGAAAGAAAGAAAGAGAGAAAGAAAGAAAGAAAGAAAGAGAGAAAGAAAGAAAGAAAGAAAGAGAGAAAGAAAGAAAGAAAGAAAGAGAGAAAGAAAGAAAGAAAGAAAGAAAGAAAGAAAGAAAGAAAGAAAGAAAGAAAGAAAATAGGTCTCTCAGATATCTACCTATCTTATTTCAAGAATTCAAAATAGGCTTTTGTAGAGGAAATAATGTCCCAGGAAGAATAAAGGGGAAGAGGGAGCTACAGTTCTTGAGAAAGTCTAATTCTAAGCTAGTTATATCTTTAAATGTCAGTGCAATATATTGAGTCATCAAGCTGATCACTGGCATTGCCATGATAGTAGCCTTTTCCAATGAAGATGTCCAGATTTTCTAAGTCATCCCTGTTGGCAATGTTGGCATAGATTAATAGAAACTTCAGTTCAAAATATCACTACATTGGGGACAAATGTACTATACGACTGATGTAACTGTATTTTGAGTAACCAGTACCATTATTAAGCACAGTTCTGCAGCTGGACAAGCAGCCTTTTCCCCAAAACATAAAAGCAGTACTGTAACTGAAAGGGGGATCATACTTGGATAGAATTAAGTCAGAATGGATGTGTATAATTTTATCTGGAGTGCCAATCCCCATTAGCCAAGCTGCCTTTCGTTTCTAACAGGTACTGAACATCAAAATCATGAGCAGATATAATGGTGATGGTGAAGTAGAATATTTTTCATTACCATCAGTGCCATAGAGTAGGCTCAAGAATAGGATTGTATCTGTAATTGATCTTCAACACTGCAGTTCATTTTTCTATACTTGTGTTTGTGTCTATAAACAATCCTCATAAAAAAAGATCAAAATATAAAACTTATCCAAAATTTCTATAATTCCCCAACAGATGGCACTATGCACTAATAAACCATGCAGAAAAGGAAACACATACACTTTAAAATGTTAAACATTAAACAGAATTCTTACCAAGAAAAGTACCGATGAAAAATACTTTTAATGGCACATTTATTACAGGAGAAGTTATATTGATAAACCAATTAGGAAGGAAAGGAGTGATTCTCAAAAATATTATGTAGTTAATGAGATGTTCTCTGTGTCGTTCAACCTGTGGGACATAAGAATTCCAAATTAAAAGAATCTTGCTTTGAAATTCAGCAGTTTCATCTTAATCGAGTAATAAATCCCATTACTGAAGCTCAGAAATGAGTATTAGCCTTTGTGTAGTTAAATCAGTACCAGCCACATAAAAGGGAGATATCAGTGAGCTCAGCAATATAAATTCTAGAGGAGAATAAAAAAACAACTCAATGAGAACAGAGCATGCTCAGTGGCCATGGGGAATGACACAGCTGGTGGACTGAGAGGTAGGGGGAAGAGATGCATGAAGAAAAGTATGTTGGAATGAAAATGGAAAAGTTAATACTGTGAAGAATAGCAACTCTCAAGATACAGACAGCTGCTGCTGTATTTCTTTATTAATGAAGGGAAAGAGCAGAAAGTAATGTAACCAGACCCTTTTTCTAAAGGGGGGAGGAAAGAAAAATTGGGGGAATGTATCCCATGTGATAAAAGACATTATGTCCCTAGGCTATATTGTATATCAGTATTCCTCTTCTAGCTCCTTAGAGATATTCCACAACCCTACTTCCAAGCTAGGACTGGCAGCCTGTCCAAATCATACCCTCTTTAGTGCCTTTGTATAGTCTGCCCACCAAACTGGTTGGGCTGCAAGTCCTGTAACCTCAAACTTGCCTCTGGAAGGGACCGTTTATTTTAATACTAAGTTGCTTTGTGAGTATTGATTTAAACAATTAAACATAATAGAAAGAATAATGCCATAAATACTTTGGTAGCAGAATGCAAGCTTTCATATTTACAGAATTCTTTATTAGCATATGAAATGTCTATAAAAGTCTGAAAACCACAATTTATTCCAACAAGTCTTGGTCTGTTAAAAGGCGTCATTCATTTAAGCAAATATTCTTTCAACTGTTTTGAGCATAGCACCTAAATATTGTAACTGCTCTTAAGTTATACCATCTGCTTGTTGACTAGAAAATAGGACTAGATTCAGAGATGAAGTATTGAAACTCTGTCCATATGATGGGGCTTTCCTGCCTTTTCCCACCATTATTCTGCTGTTCAGAACCAGGAAAGCAAAGGGGCCACAGAATGGTGCATGATAGGACATGGCAGGCACAAACAGTATTGGAAAGCTAGATAATTAGCACGACTGCCTCATGCCAAAAACACATGAGTGTTTCTGCTCACGTGAGACACATAACAGTGTCCTTAATACTACAACTACTTATAGGAATAAACTAGCCTCTGTGACCAGAAGTAGGGGAAAAATGATGAGATATCCTTTTATTAATTTATTCAGGACATATGTTCCACCAAAGTGACCTTACCTGTTTTGACCATTTCACTGCTTTCTCTGTTAAATATCTATATACAACTGGTCTTCCAACTAAATAGGACAGCATATAACAAAAAGAAGCTCCAAGTCCAGAGCACTGCAAATAAATGGAAAATCTGTATCTTATACAGAGATATTCAATTCAGTATAATTCACATGCAATAATGTTTTCTAACTAGCTAAATTAAATAAATTTCAGAATAACAGAATTATGTAAATTTAATAAAAATAAATAAATAAATAAATAAATAAATAAATTTATCTGTAAATTTAAAATTACTTCTTCCTTGGATTGTACCAGTTTAAATTGTCCAAAGGGAATTTGAATGCTTTAAAATGCTTAAAATGTAAGACTGCTTGGAAAAAACAGTATCTAATGCACAAACAAAAAACAAAACAGATAGCAGCAGCACAATTTTGACAACAAAAGCCTGAGAAAGCAACATACTATATTCCTTGCACCTGAACATTTTTAAGGTGGGTACCAAGCAAGTAGGTCTAGAAAGAGTACCACAAGTAGCTATCACCATTATGAAGGCAACATTCCTAATAGGTATCTATCTTAACTCTAAATGTGATGACACAACCAGTGAACAAGTTTCAATGGGGCAGAAATTTTCATAGAATCTGGACTTCGTTGATCTGAACTGTGTCCAGAAATAAATGCATTAGTAGGCTAGGCAGATCTGAAAGTAAAATTACTTTCTAGTCTAGCTAAAAGAGCTGCAATTACAACTATATATTGATACACAGTTTTTAAAAATAGCTTTGCAAGAAACACATTACATTAATCTAATCTTTTTCTTACCAGAACATCACTAACCGCAGATTATATTTTTCTTGGAAAATCTTCTGTTCAGCTAAAGGTGCTTCATACCATAACAAATGTGTGGTGCTGAGAGATGTGAATTTCAGCTCAATCCAAAACAGCTTGATCTAAAATTCTTTGATGGAACTTGCTACACCACACTGATCTATGTTTCTATAACATTCAGGCTCAATTACGGCAATGCATTATACATAAAATTGTCAGCTGAACATTTGTTGTACATTTTCCAACAGCTGTTAGGAAAAGAGCATATATTTACCTATTTTGTGGCAGCTATACTCTTTGTCCATTTGTTAGAGAATACAAGTCTTTTTTAAACTTTAGGAGTCAAAGACAAGGCCTTTTATTTATTAGTTTATTCATGCCATAAACCCTAGCAGGTCTTATTATTCATGTCATATTTGTGGCAGCTTTGGATACTGATGTTGATCAGTCAGGCATTTTCACCAACGGCTCTATATTTTTGAAGCTTTCCTGAGGCTTCAAAAGGTATGAAAAATTATCCCTGATAGTTTTTAAGAGATGTAAGCGCACCTCTTCTATCCAGATGTTGGTTGTGTTCGATATTCTTTGCAACAGACACTTTTATGTTATTACTGAGTTGTGTTAATATTTTGAATTGTATTTCTGTTATTTTAAATAGATTTGAACTCCTAAGAATAGATTTGAAATTTTTGCAACATTCACATACTCTGCTTTTTTCACAATAGATTATCTTAAGCATTTTTTAAAAGAAAGAACATTCTACCCTTGCAATTAATACTTACCAAACAAACAAGAAATAGAGCTAATGGAAAGGGATAAAGAAATCCTGAAAGTATACTCAAAAATATTGATCCAGGAATAGCAAATGTTTGCAGACTAGATGGTGACTATAGTTAAGAATGAATTTTGATAAATTAATGAACAAAAGAGTCTTTCTGTAAGTCTTATAGTATAATCCTACAGATTACTGAAAAGTACAAAAGTTTGCAACTATAGAAGATTAAAATACAAGCAAAATTTGAAAAAAATCAAAAGTATTTCCTGAATAAGCAATAATAAATGTCCATTTAATATTCTGACATATGCTTATGCTGCTTAATGGACTTTCTCTATGTATTTCTTCATGCATTCTGTATTTTAGATATAACAAGCAGATTGAATCGCAGTCTAAAATTGTATGTGCACATTCTAGGCAGATTTGCAAACATGTGTATCATAAAGGTTCATCTGTCAAAAAACTGCATCTGCCTATTCATTCATAACATACTTGCTGACAAACTGTTCACTGTAAACAAAGTATTTAATATTTTAAACTGTTAAAAATACTGGTAACTCTTACCATTCACATAAAAAATTAGGTCTGAACTATGATCATCATTCATCAGTAAATGTCCACATCAATGAATCTCAATATTACCTCTTTATAGGCTATTTTGCTTCTGTGAAAAATTGAAGCAAAATTTTAAAGCTGTCTCATTGGTAATATAAATTGCTAGTAAATGGCATTATTTAATATCCTTGATTTTAATTGCTAAAATTGTTCATACAAGAATAATTCTAATATATTAGACCTTTAATAGATAATTGATTCAAAAGTTCTTTTCAGTCCAAGTGCTTTAACAACATAGCAATATCAAATTAGCAGATTCTATTCCCAGAGAAAGAACACACCAATGAAAATAAGGAATGCTTATTTTTAGCAGAGTATGTGTTAAAAAATTTCAAAAGTGACTTCACAGCATCCAAATATTCCTTTATGTAAATAAGTTTCCTGAATACCTCTGTTCTGCTAACTTTTGTGAAATTTTTACAACTTAAAACACAAGAATAACAAGGTCTCCTGTTAGCTTTCTTTTTCTTAAAGCTCCAAACATTTCAATTGATTTCATTTATTGATTCCTGTGTTGATTTCTACCCAGATATTTACAGAGTTAATTTTTTCATAAAAGAAGCAGATTTTAAATATATTAAATGAAGAAAGTCATGGTCTGATTTTGACCCGGATCCAAGCCCCTGCTCTGACGTCATGAGTACCATAACTCAGTATTCACATTTCACAAACAAAAATTAAAAATGATGGATAATATAAAAGAAGTGGATATATTTTTCTCAGCTTTTCATAGCACTAGGACCTGGGGTCACTCAATAACATATATAATTCAGAGCAAACAAAACTAAGTACATCTTTACACAATACATAAGCTATAGAATTTATAGCCATAACTTGTGCTGATGGAGACCCTTCAAAAGCAGATTAAACAAATTCATGCAGGGTAAGTCATTCATATGGTTAAGGTAAAATGTACTATGTTTCTGAATATCAGTTGATCTAATGAGGCACTCATGTTCTGCTAGGATACTTCCCATATACCTCAGTGAAGAAGATGCTATGTTACATAACCTTTCAGTCTGATTAAACAGGGTCTTTTTTATTTTTATGACAACTGGAAAGTGCAAAAAGAGAAAGGCAGAGGTCTACAGTACAGAAGGAAAAATTTGTGAAAATTGCCTCTCATTAATGGAAGTTTGGGGAATTTAAAGGAAAAATGGATATCTGTAAGGCTTAAGGCATTTATTTCATCCATTAAAGCCAATGTGGAGTCACTGGAGTTCACTGAGCTTGGTTGTTTGCTTGCAGACATTTAATTACCCGACTAGGTAACATCATCAGTGCGAGTGAGTGTGGGGTTTGCCGCTTATTTATAGCTTGCCCTGCCAGTTTTGGTGGGGGTGTGGTTTTCTCCTTGGTGGTTCCTTGATTAGAGTATTGTTTTTTGCCTGATGTTGATCCCTGCTTATCTGAGTGCTGCCTGCTGGAGGGGATGTGTTCTAGTCTTTTTGTTTCCTTCCTAGGTTTTTTATTGCCTTTTTTAATGTTATGCAAATATGGTTTATCTCTATGTGTCTACTGATGGCTGATTTGTTTGAATGCCAAGCTTCCAGGAATTCCAGTAATGAAATATTTGCAGGCTCAGAAAGCATCAAGAATTCCACAGTTCAACCCTGAGCTACATATATTTTCTTCTATCGAAACCTTGACGCCACCAAAAACTAGTCGAACATTACAGCCCTTGGAGATGTTTAAAGCTGCAGTCCCTGCCTATAAGAAAAATGCCCAAATCTGTCTCAAAGCATCTCCCATCCCACACTGGGAGAATGAAAGGATGGGAAATTTGCCTTTCATTCTTTTATCTTAGAGGTGAAACCCTGGTAGAAACCCTGGCATTAGAAGGATTAATAATACATAATAGATTCACATCATATTACACAGCAACTTGTATATTTTTTAAAGAAGGATACAAGACATAGGTAGCAAAATAGGCCACTAATACTTGAACATAGAAAGTATCCTTGTACTTAGAGAGTACTTTTCCTAAGGCTTTAGCATCATCCATGTCTCTAGGAATTTTTATACATTCTCTCTCCTCTCTGTAGGGGGAAAAACAGACAATTTTATTAATAGGTATAGTGAATTCTTGCCTCCAGTCAGCAAAAAAGTATACTACACATACACTATTATGATATTATAATACCTGAAGTCTAGGGTTTCATGAAAGCATTGATCCCATTGTACCAATTTTGCAGTCCTGCATTTCCCAATTCATATACCAACATTCATCGGTCCAGTGTCAAATTATTACTATTGCTAGTCTTCTTGTAGATTTACTGTCTACTTCAAAAATTATGAGATTTTATGCTGTGATAAAAAATTATTTTATTTTATTTGTATGGCTGCCCATCCTAAAATACAACTCTGGTGGCTCACAGCAGAAATAAAACTACAAGTAGTAAAATAATAAAAACAAATTAAAACCAAGAACTAAAAAATTCTGGTGCTTCAGTCATCTCCTAAGATGCCCCAATGGCTATCTACAGGCTCCCATCATTCTACCCCAGTGGCTGGATAAAGGGCCAGGTCTTGATGGCCTTCTAGAAGCTAAAGGGATGGGGACCTGCCAGTTTGCATGGGGGACAGTGTTCCACAAAGTAGGGGCAGCTATGAAGGCTTCCTAGGTCCCACTAGATGGCAACATTTTAGGGAAGGGACCTGGAGCATGCCTACCGTATTGGACCTGGTGGGATAGGCAGATAATCTCAAGGAGTCCCACAAATAACTTGGTCCCATGCGATGTAGGGCTTTAAAGGTAATAACCAGGACCTTAAACCCACTCTGTCTTGCCAGGGTTGAGCTGAAGACTGTTCCTCCCCATTCAGACCATCATAGCCTCCAGGCACTTGGTCAGCACCGCAACAGCATAACCTGCCCAGCCCAGGGTGGAGATGTATAACTGGGTATCATCAGCGTACCAATGATACCACACCCCATGCTGTCAAATGACCTCACCCAGTGGTTTCATGTAGATATTAAAGAGGAGAGGCAAGAGACCAAGCCCTGAGGCACCCCACGCTGCAGGAGTCTATGGTTTGACCTCTTCGTCCCTACGAACGCTGACTGGAACTGGCTACAGAGAAAGGAGAAGAACCACTGCAAGACAGTGCCTTCTACTCCCAACCCCCACAGCAAGTCTAGAAGGATACCATCGTTGATGGTACTTAAAAGCGCTGAGAGATCCAGGAGAGACAGGACAGTTGCATCACCCTGTCCCGGACTCTCCAAAGATCATCTGCAAGCACATCCAATGCCATCTCAGTACTGTATCCCAGCCCAGATAATTCACTTCATCCAGGACCCTCTGAAGCTGAGTGCCAACCACCTCTCAACAACCTTCTCTAAAAAGGGGAGGTTGGAGACTGGACAAAAGTTGTCTAACACAGTTGGGTCCAAGGATGGCCTCTTAAGAAGATTATCTTTGCGGCATTTGAACTTTCATCCAGTTTACTTACAAACTGGGCAACCTTTTTAATCTGAGTTAGCAAAGAACATACATACTGCAGTTAGCATGGACGCAAGTAATCAGTATCAACTCCTTCCAAATAATTGTATACTTAATGGTTTTAAAGTTAATTTGCATAATTTACCATTTGAAAAAAGTACTATCTGTAAATAACTTTACACTATTATGTTAATTTTCTAATGAGAAAATCAAATATAATATTTTGTAATTTGTTGGGGTTTTCTGATATTGACATTATTGTGCTTTCTAGGAGATACCTAGAACCTTTTAATACCTCATAAGACCCTACATAACTTCTCTAGGTGCATATAATTACAGACGTTAGAAACGGAATGAATTCTTCATGGTATACTTACTCACTAAGCTGGGGAAAGTTTTTATATACCATCAACATAACAGAAGCAGCTATTAAGAAGATGGACACTAAGATGAGGAGCGACATTCGTGCAGATCCACCTTCTTTATGTGCTTTTCCTGAAATGCAATGAAAGTATAGTTAATTCAAAAATTACATAAAGTTACTCAAGGATTTTAATCCAAATCACATTTGGAAATATACATGAAACCAATCTGAAGAGACAATTTTCAACATCACATTTCATTACATATAATTTAAGATATGTATATATTAAATTGAAATATTTGGTCATCTAAAACAATCTAATAATTTCTGATGTAAACGTTACAATAACTCTACAAGATCACAGACTAGCAATAATAATAATTTGATGCTGGACCAATTAATGTAGGTATTACAATATAATACTACAGGTAGTTCTTGAGTTACAACAGCAACTGGTACTGGTATTTCCGTTGCTAAGCGATGTGGTTGTAAAGTGAGATTTCACATGACTACATTGCTTAGTGACAGCATAAGCTCTCATTATCAGGCTCAAAAATTAAAATGTATTGATGATTAATTGAAATAATAAAGTTTTGTTGTTTAAGTGGTGGATGTCAAATTCCTTTAGGCCTGATTCTTCTATAAAACAAACTAGTTCTTTATTTTTTGCATGCAGCAGAGATATATGTCATACTCTGTATGACATGGAATTTTTCCAAATCAAGCTCCTTAAAACTATCTTAGGCATATCTAAGATTACACCTACTTCCTTTTGATGCAGAAACTGGCAAACACCAAATTAAAGCCAAAATAATTGTTAGGGCATTTAATTACAGGGTTAGACTTCTTTCACTGCCTGATTCTCAACTTGATAAGTTGTGCCTTTTGGAGCAAATGAAATTTCACACTTTATATTGTACATGTTGATTTACATTCTTAATCAATCACATGCATTCCTTTGGCTTTTCAGCTGAATTCTTTCTGAATTCAAATAATGCAAATGATAATCACCTCTTGGGACATTTTTGCTCAAGGGAATCTTTCTAAAGTTTTACAAAAAATTGCATCATGGTATGCACTCAATAAAACTAAAATTGAATGTATTATTTTAGGTATGTAAAAGTGCTTTCCCTTACAGAGGCACTTATAGTTTCAATAAATATATTCAGCTATGAGGGAGGGCCAATTCCCTGAAATACCATATGTGTTTCTGCCCATACTGCAATAAAACCATAGAATTATTTTCATATTATTTATTGTACTGCACTATTTCCACTTCTGTCCATGGAAAAATTTTAAAGCCTCTCTTGAAAGGAAAATTATCTTGCCTTGATTCACATAAAACGGAATATTTGATTAATTTAAACAAGAAGACTTTATTAAGGAGGCTGGCAAGTTTTGCTTAAGAGGCTGCTAGACAATGATTTTATTAAAAGTTCTTTTATTTATTTTTGTAATCACTGTCCCAATAACGCTCTATAAGTTTTACTTGATTTCTATATATTTTAATGTATTTTAGAAGTCCAGTTTGGTGTAGTGGTTAAGGCACCAGGCTAGAAATTAGGAGACTGTGAGTCCTGCCTTAGGCACAAAGCCAGGTGGGTGACCTTGGACTAGTCATTCTCTCTCAGCCCTAGGAAGAAGGCAATGGCAAACCACTTCCAAAAATCTTGCCAAGAAAACTGCAGAGACTAGTCTAGGCAGTCACCAGGAGGCAACACTGATTCAAAGACATGCACAGAAAAAAGCATTTTAATTAAAGTTGGTTATCATTTTACTTACTTCTGCATTTTTGTTAATTCCTGTATTGTTGACTTGCAGTTGAATCAAATATAGATTGAACTGAATTGAATTACAGAAGTTAGTGGCTGAGTTTACAGAAGACCAAATCCAAATGTGTCTTAGCATGTTGTGTGAAGCCAGCCAGTACAGGCTGTAATTCATGGTTTACTGTTTAGCATAATGTGTAAACTTGGCCAACTGTGTTTATTAATGCTTTAAAAACCTTTATTATTAAGAAAACCAAGGATTAGCATCTTGTGTTCCCACATCCTTTATCTATAAAGATTATATTTAACAACCATATATGACAGCAACCACATAAAAGAAGCACTTTACTTACTATTCAAATACCATGTAAAAAAGGAATATTAATATTAAAACATAAAACTTGATTTTAAAACTGCTGTGCAAATTCAGTGTTTTAAATGTCTTCGATCTGAGTCATTTTTAAAAAGTTAGGAAAATGTTAAATGCTTTATTACATTTCCTCCTTGCCCAAATATCTGTAATACTGATAACATATTTACTTTATAGCACAAGTTTAAAAATGCCAAGTACAACAGAACTTAATACACTATTCCAGGTTTTGGTGTGTTAATGATTTATAAAGTTTTTTAACTTAACCCCAATTATCCTTATATAATGAACATAGGTTGCATAACAGTCTTCCTCAGCCTCAGGCTCCTCTTATTACTTTTGGCTTCCAGGATGAAACAGTTGTTCCTGGACAATTTGCTGGAGTTCCTTCTAGTGAAGTCTTTCTTTGAATTCTGTGTTTCCTCCTTAAAGCTTAATACTACTTTACAGCTCTCATCACCTACTATCTTTGGTCCACTTTAGAAGGTTCTCTGGCCAGCTCTCAGGTCTTTAAAATATCAGTGATAATTCTCCTCCAAGAGAATTTATCCATTCAGTTTTTAAAATTTTGAAGTTTTACTACAGGGTAACCAAACCAGGTTTTTGGCCTATAATGTAATTTCATTGAGGTTACTTGCAAACTATAACCATTATAAAATGATGCAGAAACTGGCAAACACCAAATTAAAGCCAAAATAAT